GTCCATTACCTATACTACCTCCCACTAACTCACTATATTTGTGGACAGTGAGTAACAGTAAAAGAATAGAAGAACAGAAAAATGCAATTTGGTGCGGCCAGATATCGAGGTATATATAATATAGGTATAATTATGGTTTGTTTACAAAAAATTCAGATCCCAAGTATATTATAATATCATACTAATCTTACTTTTCGGTAATGGTTGTACTGTCTGATCCGGCAACAGATGATACTGCTTCAATAACTGCCAGTGTGCCAGCAAAGTCTTGGCATTCCGTGAAGGGTAGAACACATGTGGATTCTGGTCTAATAGCTCTTGGAATCTCTCCAGAGGCGGCAGTGATGACTGGAATTGAGAAAAAATATATTCAAAAGTATTGTGTTAATTAATCACCACCTCATTAATCACCAGATAATAGTTAATTAATTTTTAATCACAATTTAATCATGATGATTGTGTGATAACAGAACAGCTATTCCACTTCAGCATCATTAAGTGGAAGTCAGTTTTCAAATATTAAAGTGAAGACATCCGAATGTGCCTTAAACTGTCAAACACCAAGCGGTCACCAGTGACCGCAACCTATTGTTCTATAATTGTGTCTATAATGACAGTACTCAACGAGTTAAAACAAAATTTTGTTTAGGAGTCATAAACAATATCCAAATAACTAAAATAAGCTGTAACAAAGTGACACATTCATGAATAGGACTCCAAGAATATAGAAGTGGTTATAAGAATATAAATATTTCCCTATTAGAATCATCACTAGATGCCTAACAACTTACAGGCACAGCAGGTATAGTTGCAAGCAATTCTTCTTCAGCCGTAGAATACAGAGCTTGTTGTTGGATCAAAGCTACTAAGTCCGGATGCAAGTTGCGCATAGCTGCAATAGCTACTCGTGATATCTCTGCGTTGTACAGTAAGGCATACCAACGAGACTGCAGCTCACTGACTGTGAAACGGCATGAGAACTTCACACCTCTGTGTACTAAGCGTAAGTCGTTCGTCTGAAAGTGAGGAAAATTATTTATTATTATTTTTATGGAGGCATTAGTATTGTGGTTTTTACTACATAAGTCATTATACAATACGTAATAGCACATAATTATGGTCCTAATTCTAGTTTTCCTGTTTCAAGATTATAAACATACTTGTACCTACTTTTATAACAACAAATACTAACTATTTAAAGTCGTCAAAAATAGATTTTAATTATATTTAAATTGCAAATTCTTTATGTTAAGTTGTATTCATACCTGTTGGACACCTAATATCAGAGCCAGATCATCTGTGGGTTTCCAACGCCCTAGATCCTTTGTCGAAAGGTGACTCAATTGCCCTTTACGGCGGATTTTGCGGCCCATGCTGGCACCACCAGACACTTTGCTTGAAGCTCTGCGTCGCTCTGCAGGCTGGTGAGCGGGAGGAGTAGGCACACTCGTCATTGGAATCTCCGAAACTTGACTCGTATACGATTGAGTTCGCATTCTCTTGTCACCTTTCCCAAGTGAAGATCCGGGCAATCCACTATATTCCACCAATTCATCGTCAAATCGCCTTCGTTTTATTGATCTCGACGAACTGAAAATGTATGTAAACCATTGAGTATTATCAAATAACATTCAAACTGGATACTAAAATGAATTTTACAAAACTAGATAGGAGTACCTGCGTCTTTTATTATCGTCTGGCACGTTATTATATGGAGACCGTGTAGTGCTAGGGTATTCGTTACTATCTGATGCATTTGATGGCGTTGCAGGGAAATCCATTATTTACTTTTTGCACGTTAAACAATAACTATAAATAATAACAAATTACGAAATCACTTCGTTTTGACTTTTTTTAGTCAATTTGTCAAACAAAGTAACGTATAATGTCAATAATGTCAACTGTCATATCATACATATCATTTGCCATAGAGTATTTATGAGTAGTGATGAGTAATCAGCGTACCACTCTAGCTTTAGTCGAATTTATGTTTATCGTGAAATCGAATAATTTTGATGACAAAATATATTTTTCCCGTTTTTTACAACTAAAAATATATTGCTAGAAGCACGGCAGTTCGCTATTTCTGCTATTTCAAATTGGAAATATTTTGGAAATTTCTGGTAACATTATTTGTTAATGTCAAAAACTAAAAATATTTGAGGTTATATGTGTGTTATGATTTGATTATTGGATTTTCGTAAATAAAAGTATTTTCATTGGACTTCTTACAAAAATGGCACATATAATTCGAGCAATAGCGTTCAAACCACGAGATATATTGGCCAGATCATATAATAAAATCGTAATAACTGACGATGGATCGACGATAGTTGCACTTCACAAAGACCAAGAATTTCCATATGAATACTCAAGACCTCTACCAGAAGAAACAATTGCAGACAAGTCGATTTTACGAATGAATGATCCGCAAGAAATGTACAGAGTATTCAGGGACTTAAAGCCTGAGATAGCAAGGAAACAGCTATCTTCATTGACCCTAACTACAACACATAGGTGGTTCCCCAGAGCTAGAGACAAGAGAGCCAAGAAAACGGAAATGAACCGCCCTTATTTGTAGAATAATAAAGTACTATGTTAGTATAGGATATTGTAGAAACTACCTATTAAAAATAAATTGTTGAAATTATCATTATTTTTTATTATTTTTAGTTTTCTCCTTTATCTTTTAAACAAGTGAGTGGGGTACTTATTGGTTGTCTTTTATAAAACTCAAATAGTATCACTTGTATACAATTTTTTCGTATAGTTAAATTCTTGAAGTACTTGCTAGAAAAATTAAAATATTACAACATTTCTAATAAACAATGGCTAATATTTAAACTCACATGGTTGCAATTAAAATAAAATGAAAATGATTGAAATCATCAATTGCAATATAATAACTATTATCATAGATTCGGTATCTTGGTAGAATTAACAAGATATTATTGATTTTTCTATTGTAATAATCTTGTCACTGGTGACCACTCTCCACTCACTCCATTATAGACCTTATGTCCGATTTTTAGAGACTACTTACTTTTGTGCGAATATACCAAGTGATAAAGCTAAATAGAATAGAATAAACTCTGCTCTGGGAGCAATCACTGGGATACACCAAGTGATCATACTTGTGATCTTGTGTAAATGTGTAATGCTTCTCAGGAATAGTCCTTGTAGTCAAGATTTAGAGTTTTAGATCCCATGTAATTTCCCTTAAAATTATTATACGCTTTGCATGTAATCATGGGATCATGTCCACGCGTGCGACTGTCATTGACAACTAAGTAGGTGTTACATTTGCGTAGGTACCTATATCTGAATTTTATACTAACCCTTGTGGGGCATAGAAGGCGTGATGTGTTGTCAAATATTAGGTAGGTCAGTTAGGTAGGTACTACCAGTTACCGATACAAGTCCATGACTACTGTAGATCGATCGACTCTTCGAGGCTGGAGCAGTGACCTTACAATATGCAGGTACCCACGCGTGAGATCCCCATACCACCTTGAATTGTACAGCACGCAATAGGTACTTAGGTAAATATGTATGTGACGGGATGTAGATAGTAACATTTTAAAGTTATTACGATTTAAAAAACAGCAGCAATATTTTTTTGTAAGGAGAATAAAGATGGCCGCTTCTAAAAGGCTTTTATATTTTATCAATACATAGTATAAAACAAAGTCGCTTTTGCTGTATGTCCGTATGTATGCTTAGATCTTTAAAACTACGCAACGGATTTTGATGCGGTTTTTTTTAATAGATAGAGTGATTCTTAAGGAAGGTTTATATCATGCATATTGCACCCGTGCGAAGCCGGGGCGGGTCGCTTGTTTTAATTAATAAAATGTTATTATTAATATAAATGGTACGTGCATACCTAAGCAGCTTATGTTATGTGTTTTTAATATCTTAAGATTATTGTAGTAGGTATTAATTACAAAATGATTTTAACTCGTCGAGTACCGGTTTTGCAGACACAATTATAAAACAATAGGTTGCGGTCACCGGTGACCGCTTGGTATTTGACAGTTTATAATATACAAAATATTTGGAGGTACGGTAGCGCTACCCGCCAAGACAAGCCAAAAATATTTTCTCTAGATAAAGTTCTCAAGTCACTTCTTAGTAGATATTTTTTACATTTATCACAAATCAAATACGTTTTTTAAATATCTGTAGAACTTACGCCAAGTTAACTGCTTTAAAGTTTTTATTACAATTTAATGTTCCAGAGTTTTTTTTGTAGTTCAACTTCGGAATGCTGTGGAGTGGAATAGAAATAGAAAGCTTTTACGAGTATTATTTATATACTTACCTATATTATTTCTTAAGAAACCATTCGCATGATTCATGAATAACGGTATATTCTCGTCGCGTTACGATTTGGTATTTCAGGGCCTTTCAACCAGTACCACCAATCATTCAATGTCAAATACCTGCAGTACAAGTACGTACTGACCCTGACCGGCGTTGGTATGGAATCAGAGGGTAGGAATGTCTGGCACTGGCACCGACACATTTCGACCGAGCGCCACATTTAAACCACGAAACAATTAAGAGAACTGAACAAAACCTTTAAATAAATAACTTTATTCTTGATAAATAATTTGTATATATTAATTTTACAATTTAATAAATTAATGTTGCTATCAATGCAATATAGCCTAGTGTTTATTTACTTTTAACCGTTTATTATATATTTAACAGGTACACAATTAATTGTTAATAGTTTTAATATTATACATGCAATTATTGTTAATCTAAGTACCTATATTACATTTTGATTATTCATTATATTGCAAAGTAACATTTCATAAACAGTACATGATTTTAATTTAAAGGACAACATGTTTCATCTATAAATTTGTACCCTAGCAAGGCTCTTAAGCCACAATAAATCGATTAACAACAGCTTATCTAGTAAATAGAACTATAATCTGTAGGTACTATTTTCTCAAACTACAATAATTTCTCTTTCTAAACAAAAAATATTCCTTCACATTCAATATCACAATGATTGCTTCCTTTGGTGCTCTTTACATCTAAATATTGCACTTATAACACCGACTAGTTCATCATCAGTCACGAACCACGCCTTACTCCCAACTACTTGTCTCTTAGTAAACCATTGCAACTGGAAATAAGTTGTTAGCTAATCAACTGCGCTAATTAGTCTCAATAAAATACATTTTAATAAATATAACAATAGAAAGTATTATAAAAATATGTCATCTGATTTATTGCTCTATGTGATGAGATGTAAGATTCAAAATAGAATTAAATAGTGACACATATGTGCAGCCAAATGTTACGTTTGTTGGCAACTAGTGCGCGGCGGCGGACAATGAGTGCTCACTCTGTGTAACACTTGCCCTCGCGTCAATGACAAACATGCTAAACTACCTATCAGTTAGCCATCACTCAAGTGCCATAATTGCCAGTCTTGAAGAAAAACTTAATATTAATAAAAAATATACTCTCGGGAATTATTATTGCATACGACGATGTCATCTCATGACCATAAGGCTAGGCAATTGTACTATAGTCAGATACCAATAGTTGCTATGCTATATAGAAGCTTCAACATCTTAACAACTGGACATTAGTCTTATTCTAGTATATGTTACGATAAAAGAATTAAAAATTATATCTTCAGTTCTACAAAATAACAGCCATACATATCTATCAATACAAAACAAAATGGCACACGAGATTACAGATACAGTTTATTATTAAAAATATAAATTCTATGTGAAATATTAACATAAGTGTATCAAAACGAAAACATGAAGATAATAAAAAAAATAAATAAAAATAAATTATTAAAAAAAATATGACTGACCTTTGGATTTAGCAATAAATTTAACGTGAAACGTTCCTAAGAAGGTATCAATAATTCGAATGGGCCGAACTCTCATAAACATCTACTTTAATATTTTTTATATAATTTTTAAGTTTATTTTTGTAGTATAATAATATTGAGTAAGATCAAATAACAGTCAAAATATGTACAGAATATGACTATCGATTTTGAATTTTAAAATCTAAAAATAAGGTTCAAAATATAATATTGTAAAAGATTTCAACAATTACTCTTCAAGATATAGAGCTCGGAGCTCACAAACAGAACCATTGCCCGCTTGATGTATAGGTATATTTGGCGACGTGCGGGCACAAACTCTCCAGAATACACAAATAACACTAGGCCAAAAAATATCCATATACAGGTGATTTACGGCAACGTCACATGGATAGCAGTTTATATTGTTTTTGAAAATAAAATGAAGTGTCCTTAGGTAAAATGGTCTATTTAAATTGTACAATATATGTTCACGGTATGTTCTGACTATGTGGTGTTGCCGTGGGACATCCTGTATAACTGTATGTACTATATTATAAAAAGTTACTCTAAATTAAGTGTAAATCTTGTAAATGTCACGAGTGTTAGTCTAAGTACTCTTCATTTCATCATTAACGAATTTGGAAACAATTTTTGAAGTGTTGCAGCGTTATTTGTATCTTATTGTATAGGTACAAACGCTTGCAATTCAGTCCCAATAAAATATTAAACTTTAAGATCGTTTTTAGTAATGGTAGAGGTAAGTTCGGTCGAGACTGCGTACTCGTCGGCGTCTATCTGCATCGTCTAATGAGAAATTGAAGAGTGACTGCAGAGACCGGTTTCGGTAGGGTCAGCGGATCCGGTTGAGGCGCAGTTCCCTGTCCAGTTGTTGAAGTTGGCGGATGAAACCCTCGTTAGGGTGGATGTCACGGCGACAACGCACAGTTCCCAAAGCTTCAGCCAAAGACATTCCGCGTTTGATCATGAGGAAGGCTAACGCGCATGTGGCAGATCGAGACACCCCCATAAAGCAGTGCACTAAGACGCGTCCTAAAAGACAAATTTTCATGGTCAGAATTCGCTATAAGCAAAAATGTGAAAAAATAATTAACTGTATCATAGTATCATGGTGTTGAAACATACCTCCGCTAGAAATCCCTTCATCAATGAAGTTGGCAGCTATATGGAAATATCTTGAAATATCAGTTGACGGCAGATCCATTAGCTGAAAACCTTTGTACCGAAGTCCGGGACAGTCGCGGTAATAGAGGTGGTCGGTGTCCACCTGGGTGTAACGTTTGCCTTCAGCGGTGTTAAGGACATAGTTAATGCCCATACGCCTCAAAAACGCTTTGTCCTTGGCAGCAACACTAAGTACAGAAATAAGTACCATGAGAAAATTGTTTGCGTAAACGTTTCAATGTGACGTATATCGAACTATTTAAAGGTAGAATAATACCTACATTATAAGCGACGTTACATAGGTAGATGTAGGAGGATATTAATACTTACGCGTCACCAACATAGAGGCCCGGATAAACTTCATTTACGTCCGGAGTGGGATTGTATGATATATCCGCGAATGGACGGGAGCGGAACGACGACAGTGAACTCAGCACGGAAGACGGTGACGAACCGAAACTCTGAAAGGGACGCACTATACATAAACACTGACCCATTATTTTATTTTATATTACAATTTACAAAATCACAACACAGTGTGTTAATCTCTAGAACACGAAAAGTTAGTATGAACTTAGATGCTTGAACAGATAATGTACAGTAAACATACATTAGTGAATACGTAATTACACTGCAAATATTGATAAACAACTGCAATAATTAGCATTTAGTGTGACTGTGTGAGATAAGGATGAAAGTATTCATACATTATATGCACACATTTTAAAGTGTATTACTTCTTATTATACAGTAATAAATAGTTGTACCCATATATATATGATGTGACGTTAATTGTATTTTTTGTATATATATTTTACTTGCCATGCCACTGAATTTTATTACTTAACTGGCAATGGTAGATAAGATAACTATATTACTTTGATTAATTACTAATTTGGTAGTATTTAAATTTGTTGATAGTATTATTAATTTGCTCTTTCATACACATAAACTGTTCCTTAACTCGTCGAGTACCGGTTTTGTAGACACAATTATAGAACAATAGGTTGCGGTCACTGGTGACCGCTTGGTGTTTGACAGTTTAATCACATTTAGGTGGAAACAACAACAACATATTATCTAAAACTAATAAAATTGATTGAATATAAAACTTGCAGTAAATCAAAGCCAAGCATGCAAGCCTGTTTCTACACACCTACATAAATTCCAATGAAATCAAATATTTCAAATGGAACTTGTATCCACACAGAGGACATAAGATTTATTTGTCTTAAGTAGGTACAATAATAATTAAGTCCAGCGGTGGGCAAACTATGGTCAGTGACAGTGAGTCATGTTAAAAATGTAAGTTTCGTATACCAAGAATCCTTTAAAATGAAAATAGACACTATAATATTGCTTGCATAATATTTTGACGGTGCAACAATATAAACTAAAATAATAGATGTATTATGATGGGAGCAGATTAACTAGCCGAAAAGTTAAATATATTGTGATTTATTTTCTCACTCAACATGGACCTCAATCTGAAGTGTCTTTACGTTTTGTAGAAGCTTTGTCCACCGCTGACTTAGTGAATAAAAATTAGCAAAAAAAAAACAGTTATAATTAAATGATCAAAGCAAAAACATAAACTCAACTTAATGACACCCAAGAGTATATTCATTGCAAAAATAAATAACATCAATTTCATTGAAATTTTACTAAGACCTTTACCATATTTTGTCTGTGTAGTTGGATAAAAACAAGCACAGGCCAACTGTGTGATTTATGCACGGGTCACACGAACATAGGCCGATGATAAATACCATTAGGGTCCTTATGTAGGATCCTACACGTTGCTCTTTAGCTGCGCAGTATGAATGAGTTCTTGGGAATAGTGAGTACTGCCAATAACATAACATTGGTTACTATGACGTTATTATGCTAAAAATATTATTTATATTAATTAAAGCAGAGTGAGGAATATGTGGTTGTAACAGAAACAATTTAATAAGCATCTGTGATGTGTGTTAGATGTATAGCAAGTAAGAATAACAGCGAGTAAGAATTTCTAAACTATAAAAAATTCTGCTAAATTCCATGGTCATTCTGTTTTCAACATATTGTGTAACAGGAATAGAATGGAGTAGGCAGACATTTTGACCTTGGTATTTTTTAAACAAAAGAATCATATTACTTGTATTCTTACAGAATTAAAAATATGGTGGTTTGTAATTTGTCGGCATCTATTTCATTTTTTTTATTCTATTGTGCTCTCGACTTGATAAATAAATAAAAGTACTAGTACTATTTTTATAGTGCAAAAAATTTCAAAAAATAATTATGACAAAATTACCTATTTAAATAAGCTAACATTACAAGCAATTTTAATTTGAGAAGCAAAATTTATTTTATCGCACAAAAAAATTATTCTATTAAAAGTCTCTCCATTCTTAATAAAAAAAATCAAAACCAAAGTACTTAATTATGTTTCAAAAGTAATCAGAACACAGTAAATATTTTTAAAATATTATTCTGCAACAGATAAAAATGCAAAACAATATAATCTGTCCTTGGTATAAATCTCTCTTATTCAATTTAACTACCAATAAGATTTATATTCTATAGATAGATTAAAAAAACTGTATTCGGATAGTTTTGAACATGTCAGTGTACATACATCGCAATAAGTGACCTGTCGTCGGGAATACCGGGGGTATAAAAGCTGTGGAAAAATTAATATTCTAGCTTACTCTCACTTTCATTACGAAAGCAAATAAAAAAATAATATACCATAATTATTTAAATAGGGAACGAAGTAAAAATAAGATTATAGCAAGAAGAAAATTGATATCCCATAGTAAGTATGTATAGCCCACAGCAACCTTGAATCTGTGAGTAATCTAAACGGGTAAAAATAGAACTGGGTTAAAATATTTACGCTATAATCTATTTTTAGTACCATGGGAAAATATGTATTTCAATGACTGAGTACATTAAGATTGCAATAATTGAGAAGAATTACGTTTTCTTGATAAATAAATTTAAAAAAATCTTATCTATAATGCGACGTAGTTTTATTAAAATTCTACTCACCGTATCCCTGTAACTCATGTTGAATATTTTTAATGCTTAGTTAAAAGTATGTAGATTACAGTTTAAGGTAAAAATTACTAGGTATTTATTTAATTTATCTTCCGAGTTGAAAACACTGCACTCGCAAACTATCGAAATTTATCAACTGTGCGCCATGACAAAACTAGTGTGGTACCCACACTTACTATTCTTGGCATTAGCGGCAATAGTCGAGTCGTGCTCGTGTGCCACATGATATCACATAATACTGGTATGCTCATATTATGGTGTATCCAAATGCATTATTAATTAATGCATTTATTTCATTTTTATAAAATGCATTATAAAATCCAAATGCATTAATTTCATTTTTATAAAAATGTAATACTGTGTATGTGTACTTCCTATTTATAATCTCTTTTATTAAATGGCAAAAGGACCAGGTTGTATCTTAAAAAAATATTTATAGTTTCTGATTTTACTGCTCTATTGCGCTCTATGCTCTATGCTCAATCTGGCACATAGTGATGAGCTGTGGTTTGATACCATGAACTAATTTTTTACCTAACTCGAATGAAAATTATCGATTAATAACATCGGATGTAAATGTTAAGATTGTGTTTTTCTCAAAGATATCTACGCATAGCCGTGTGATAGAGTAGACTATGCCGCAGGCTAAGTTTTACTTATAAGTATAAATAAACTAACTCGCCGGAATTGTAATAATTTTATTGATAACTAGCTGGCCCGGCAAACTTCGTACCTCCTATAAATGTTTTTTCTCACCTTATAAACCTTCCCTGGACTCCCAAGAACATTTCAATACCAAAATTACCCAAATCGGTTCAGCCGTTCTTGAGTTTTAGCGAGACTAACGAACGGAAATTGATTTTTATTTATATACATTAATGTAGATAATCATAAGTTTGTTCCATTATTATTTTAAACTAGCTGTGCCCGCGACTTCGTTCGCGTAGAATAGTGACTATGAGCAGCGTTTTTTTTTTTAAATATATACTTATTTTTATTTTAGATTTGGATCATAATCACAGTCATTTTGGATAGCTAAAAAACCTACTTTACTGTAATGCTTCTCTATATACAATATTAGACGTATGGCCAAAGGGGGTGAAAGCATACAGGCTGCTGGGATTGCTAACACGGGACAGAGCCACATACAATTGACCGCGCGAAAAACAGCTGATACTTAGATCTATACCCACAACTTTTAGAGTCTGACCTTGAGCTTTATTAATTGTCATGGCGAAACATAGGCTCACTGGAAACTGAATTCGTTTAAAATTAAACGGAATTTTTTTTGGAATGAGAGGAATCTGAGGAATAAAACCACTATCACCTTTTCCGCACCCTGTTAAATATATATATATTTATAAGCCATTTCTGAGATTAGCGTGAACAGACAAACAGACAAAAAAAAAATTAGTTACATTTTTGGGTTCGAAATCGACATAACAATAGCCCCTGCTATTTTTTTTATTTTTATTTTCAATGTACAGACAGCACTTTTCTACAATTTTATTATATGTATAGATAGATAGATAGTGTTCGACGTGATTCTTTAATTTGACGTAACGTTTTTATTTATGAACCGATTGACATGAAACAAACACTAAAGCATAACTGAAGCATACCACAATATATTCGTGAAAACCGCATCCAAATCAGATAAGCCGTTTCTGAGATTAGCGTGAACAGACAAACAGACAAACAGACAAAAAAAAAGTTAGTTACATTTTTGGGTTCGACATCGACATAACAATAGCCCCTGCTATTTTTTTTATTTTTATTTTCAATGTACAGACAGCACTTTTCTACAATTTTATTATATGTATAGATGTCTGTTATCTTGAAATTTCAGTCCGCTTGTTGTATTCTTTAGAATATTGATATTTAAATATTCTAATTAAAACTATAATCGATCCGAGTTAATTTCATGTACATAATTAAATCGAATTGATTGGTTACAGTGATAATATGATATGTTATGTGTCACGTCACTAGTTCGTATGTAACCGCGCCTTGTTTGCGTGCTAATTTTTCTAAATATTGAAAAAATCTACTTTAAAATATAATGATTATTCTAGCGTTATAACATTTTTGGGGAATCCGGCTTAATATCCTACGAAAATGGATGAAAAAGAAGAGTTGCATCTAACCTCTCAGGAGTTGCAAGTTTTGTCGGAACTTGACAGGTACGTAACTACATAATATTAAACAAGTTTTAATTTTCGATAAATTATAGTGGTTTCGTATATTTGCCTTGTATATTTGGTACAGAAATGATAAAAACACTGTACAAATAGATTGATAGAGAGCAAGTAACTTCGAAAAAAAAAGAAAACAAACAGCAATGTCTGCTGCTTCTCAATAAGTTTTTTTCGACCTTTGTGCACCTTGGAGAATTATTCTTCACTTTAATAGTATCTGTAATAAGTACTTAATTTATCTAATTAGCTTTTATTTAAGGTTGCCACTTATTCGACAGTGTTTACCACTTACCATTGTAGTTGTAAAGAAAGTGGCACAAATTTATAAAAGGAAATTTTAATTTCAGTCGGCAGTTTGGTTTTCTTAAGTTACGTGGCACTGAACATGGCAGGACCCGAGCTCTTGTACTCAAGGCTGTCAAGTATCTTGAAGGGATGCTTGTACAAGTCAAGGTAGAGTATATTTTAGTAGTTAAATTACTTTTAACATAAAGCATTCTTCGCTAATCACTCACTTTCATTTAGAGGAGTACAAAGAAAGTGTCAAAAAACATCAATATCTAATAGGATTTCCTGTATGATAAAAAAATTTACTTTAAACAACCTAAAGACCATATCTTTGTCGGTTTGTTTTTTTTATCAGTAGGTGTAAAAAATCAAAGGCTTGGTTTGAACAACCCTCAACTTGCACTATCAACTGCTTTTATAATCAAACAGTTTTACCAGCAAAGGAAATATATTCAATAATAATATTGTACAATAATAATATTGTAGGAAGGATAATAGAACTAACAATAAACATTCAATAACTACACCTAAATCTATTTTGAAATCCTATATGACCCTTATCTAGAGGATGTCCTAAACTTCTAATAACATGCTTTAAATTTTTTTTCCCTTTTCCAGGAGGAAGAAAGAGCATGTTCACCCGGAGCCAGAAGAGATATTTGTATTGACCCGAAAACTTATTGCAAACTTGGCCATTTTCATCTTCTGCTAGAGGACTATGCTAAAGGTTAGCCGCTAAAGTTATTTTGTCTCTACCTGTTCTAATACTCTGGTTTAACTCGTACACAATGACCCGATCGAAATCCTTAAAATTTTTTCATACAAAAGTAGTCTCTAAGCATTAGAAATAAGGTCTATAATGGATTTAGTGGAGAGCGGTCACTGGTGACTGCTTGGGGATTGATTAGTTTACTTAACTAGCTAGCACAGTCACCCGGTGTAGAGAACACTGTAATAATGAAAAAAGTATTGTATTGATGAGATTGTATCAATATCTGTTTATCTTATTTTCCCTAATATGGATAACAGCAGCAGAGTGACACCATAGGCTTACTCATCTTTTTAATATTATATAGACTTCCATCCAATTTCAATAACCTATCTATAATCTGTATTCTGACTTGCTTACTAGAGATAGAATTTTAACATGAGCTCCATACATTATATTACATTACATTACATAGATAGGTTGAAATTGAAACTGGCTGTTACTGGTTACTTAATTCCAATTTTGAAATGAGTAAGTTTTTTTTTATTATTGTTATAAAAAAATTTAAAGGCAAACTAATACATAGGAATTATAGAACTTCTCAGTCCATAAATTGTTGATTGAGGATAATAGACAAGTTTCTGAAAAGTTTTGATGATGCTATATGACTTAATGTATTTATCAATACAGTTTGTACTTATACACACAAAATAAATATACAATAACAAAGAAACCTTGTTTGAAAACATTAATTATTGAAAGAGTTTGTGTGATTAGCAAAAATTGAAAATAGAATCAATTTACAAATAGAAGATATGGATGTTTCAAGAAGAACAGTGACAGTGATGCTTGAAGAGTTATACAATCACTTAAACTATGCTTGAAACACTTGAAACAATGTATGCATATAAAAATACCAGCTGGTAGCTGCGACTTTACTGATTTTGTAAAAGAAAAAACCTAATACAATATCACGGCTTTTATTCCCAGGTGAGGTGAGGTGCACATTACTGCACTTAATGCCACTGTACAATGTAACACCCACTTTTCACTATTTACGTTATGAGTCCCATGTAATAGGAGGTGAGCCTATTGCCATCTACCGGGCACAATTCCAGACTTCATGCTACCACTGGGACTTTTTTTTAATAACTCTGTAATACTTTGCCCGACACCGGAATCGAACACGAAACTCCTTGCCCAGCAGTCGCATGAGTAACCACTCGGCCAACGAGACACTTACAGCAACCTAATATAGTATCACACTTTAGCCTTCTATCTCCAGATTGAAAAAAGATTATAATGTTAAATAGAAAAACAGACAAACAATAATTACACTTTCGCATTTATATTTGTAAGAGTATGCTAAATATATACATACATAACTTCACGCCTGTCTCCCATGGGGGTTGGCAGAGACTATGGAACGCCAATTACTAAAAATGTAAATAATTGTAAGCTAATTAAAAAGGTAATCATTAAAAATATTCAGTTAATAATAATTCAGTATAATTCTGAAGTTTGGATTTTGATACATTTTCTTCTACAGTACACACTGCCAAGTATTGCGCAAGTTAGTTATTTGGAGACCATGCAGAACATCTGATTCTCCGTCTCTCTGCGAGACTTATAACTGTCGACCCTGGTTGCTATCATAATATCTGTGGTACATTCAAAACCCTAAATGATATCTGAGACTCCGACGGCAGAAGAATGTAGCGATTTGCGGTGTATGACAGTATACTCGAGAGGCAACGCTAAAAAAGTTTCCAGTCTGAAATCAGGACTTTAGATCAAAAGACTCGGGCTTGGACTCTCTTTCATAACATCAATAATATTGCGTAGTTTTGTAAAGGGCAGATAGCAGTTTGCACAAAACGTTAATATCACGTTTCACTCATGTTTATGGATGCATGAATAATGAATACAATTCGTACCTAAAAATACACTTTTGTACCTAAAAATATTGACATTTAAATATCAACTTGAAAATCAAGTGGTCACAAAATCCCAAAATAAAATTAGAATTTTAAAAATAGATTGAACTTTTGGGTAACAAAAATAGGATATTTTACCGAGTATGGTTGAGTGGGTAGGGTAATTCCAATTTATTCAGGTAAATGTTACTTATTCATTTATTCAATAATTATCTAAAAATGTTTTTTTATGTTTGATGGGCCTACGTTTAGCCATTATCTGTCCTGGGGGTAAGCGATGTTGCGGCCTACGATGGAGTACATCTGCCCATAAGGAACCTATCACTGCCTAGAATTCCCTAGAAAATGTTACAAAACTGTAATTGTGTAAGTTATACACAAATTATTTTCTGTACTTCCGACGTGACCTTTGGTTTTTTTTTAAACTGCCGAGTTAATGGCAAAGGGATTAATTGAGCAATCTAAATGGTAATAAAAATAGACAGTATGCAGTTTCAATCACGTATGTTCAAGCAAATAAACCAAGAAAACCTTAAGTCGTTCTCTGTCACATAGCTTTGCATAGCGTAATAGACAACGGAGGTGTTTTATGGCCTGCAAGTTCCAGCAATAAACAGAATTTATTATCATTACTGCGACACTCCTAGAAATCCGTCTATAGACGCCAGACTAACGCGTAAAATAACTTAAGTTATTCGAAAATATGTACCAAGTTAAAATAAGTTATCACAAAACATTGAAAATCATAGTTTTTGACGTGTTGAACTTTTTGACTTCGTTCTATCTGTATTATCTACAGTTCAGATTGCTTTAAATTTTTTATGATGATATCTACTTCTTACTTGGTGTCCAATTTAATCAAAATTGGTGTAGCTGTTTGTGTGTCAAGCGTAATCAAAATATGCTTCTGTTGTTCATTATCCAGGAAACTAATTAACAATTCGACACCAGTTTCAAATAAAATGTATGTAAATTCTATCCTTGTAGTCAATTCTACCGACAGGAACGTTATTTATTAAGCCTGGCCGTAAGCCATATAAATAATTGAAATATAATAGGTATGATGCGGCAAAATGTTATGCCAAGTAGTCGATCGATGAAAAGGAAAGTATCGCTAAATATTAAATGATAAATACCCGCTCGGGGGGTTTCGCACGAGTGCTTTTCTCATACTTTTCCTATGAAGTTGCCAACTTTTTATTTCAATATCCAAGTGTTACCATTGAAATAATGCACAAAACGCTTAGCAACACATTCATGGATCCATTTTTTCGTTTTGATTTCTATAGATTATAATTTCATTATACGTACTTATTGAATTTCTAACAATGGCCTTATGATACAGGTCCTTCGTATTTTTGAAATCTATGAATGTACTATGTAGTTTCATTTCAACAATATAATTTTATTCATCAGATTCTTCTTCAATTCCCAAATTAATAACTCATCAACTGCTAAAATTGAAGCCGTATCGGGCACAAACTAGTCTAAATATCTTTCTGTTGTCTACTAAAATAGGAAACAATTACTCATTCGTACACAAAATAAAACTAGCGTATGATGACGTAAGATATTGACGCAGCTTATCCCGATACGAGAGATCCTTTCTCAGAATAATGTGTAAACATAAATCTAGACTGCTCCTACACTCCTACAGTTGTAACCTTGACCGTTTATTAAGTTCAGCTCTTGATTGAGGTCTCTTGAATGTTTACAAACTTTTCCGAGAAAACAGTGTCATATCGTAAGTCTTAGTTTACTACAGGAGTTTTGAGTTATTTATGAAAGAATGAGTTCGTTTATAGGCGTGTTTTTTTCTCTTTGCGTATAGTGTACGTTTAGTAAACTATTATTGTAGTATGTTCCCTCATCAGCGAAATATCGTAAGACGTCCACTGCCGAACATCGACGTCATCAGTCTCCTTTTCTCTAATAGATCTGTGGTTAATTAGTTATGCATATTCTCTTTCTTGATTCTGCCTCATTTAAGCTTCACCGTTTGTGAAAATCATAAGATGAAAACCTTTATTTCATCTCATAAGAGATGAGATCTCATCTTTATTATATTTTATTTCTATGAAGATATAATTTTACTTTTGGAATCCAAGACATCGTTAAGTTATTATTACCCGATTTCAAAAATTTGTTCAGCTTGGAGACATCGTTATTACCTTATTTGGATAACATTGTAATTATAGGTATATTATCTTACCATTTAGTTACGCCCCAGTTGCGTAAATTCTCATTTTATTATAATAGTAAATTAAATATAGCCGTTATATTTATTTAGTGGACAAGGTTTGTGGTGATCACGGAAATTCTTTATTTTATCTATGTTGATTATTGTGTCCACGTTATTTACTTTGATGGAATATATAGAGAATATTGTAAGTTTATTTTTTTATACAAACAACATGTTTTAATAATATCTTTATATTTATGAATCGAAATGCAGTAAATTACTATTCATGGCTGATATTTAAATATTTGTGTCGTGTATTAATTCTAAAAATAACATTTAACCTTTTAAGACTGTATTTTCCAATGATTTTCCTCTAATTATTATCTAGGCGAAATTCCCCAGTTGCAAAGCCTTTATTCTGCAAATTGTGGGTATTCACGTGATACATTTTCCCATGCCAAAAATGAATATCTCAATGTTCAGTAATTTAAATATATCATTTCTGTTAGTTGTTGTTCAATATTAATTATTTGAATCACCATTATGTGTACGTCATACAAACCTGGTAGGCAGCGGCACAGTTGATGACCTAACGTTTATCATACGGTCATTATCCATTAAATGCTGAATATTTTAACATTAAAAATTTTAATCTTCCTAAACAGGATACTTTTATCAAGGTAGTTGCTGTCGGCCTGCTTCTAGTTCAGGTGTTTTTTCATAGATGGCGCTGTCTGTATTATACTATGATTCTATTTGAAAACATGTTGGCTCTTCCCCTACGCGGTTAACTTCCCTGTTATCAAGTTGGTAAATTCGTGGCTATCCATCAAGGTTAACCATAAAATATTAATTTCAGTGTAAATTGTCGACATTATTAGGTAATACATAAAACGAACATTTTAGGTACTTACACATACAATTTGACTTTTTATTTATTAAAGAATGAAACAAGTACCCTACATATTGATAGTATAAAATGGGTAATTAAACTGTCAAACACCAAGCAGTCACCGGTGACCGCAACATATTGTTCTATAATTGTGTCTATAATGCCGGTACTCGACGAGTTAAAAATATCTACAAGAATATAAGGGGTAAAACTTGTTCGTATATTTACTTAGGTAGTAGTTAGTACATACTTCACGTGGTTTTCTCACAAACACAAAACACACCTTTTAATAATAATTGGCTGTCCATTAGATGATAGGAAATAGTTACCAGCTGCTCACTTTAGAAACGTAAGTTAGGTATGTTTTCAAAAAGGCAGATGTGTTCCTCCAAGACGGTAAAATATACCCAGTATAAAATATCAATTGTGTTTTAAAGATCTGGCCGACGAACAATAGGGGGTGAAACCGGTTTTCGTGGCATTGATTTTAAATTAGTCTGTAAATTTTAAATATGCATTTAATTCAATTACATAAAATTCGAATTAACAATTAGATGTTACATTCATTTACACAAATTAAACAATTACGTACGTTTTGACATTGATTTATTTTTTTTTCTTTTGTGGTTTTTTTTTCTTCATGTAAGTACAGTCTGCACAATTATTTGGTACGCAGGTACAAAGTTTTATTTTTTTTATACCTTGCCTACTACCTACTAGGATTATCTCCTGTGTCGTGGGTGCGTTTACAAACATACAAGTTCACATACACAATGACACCCAGACCCGAAATAACAAGTTGTGGATCACACAAAGTGTTGTTCCGTGCGGGAATCGAACCCGCGACACGTTGCACGGCAGCCAGTTGCCCAGCCACCGCACCAACCGTGCAGTAAATAACGATTGAATAAATGATTGTACGAAAACAGTGACCATTATTTATTTACTTACTAAGCTGACCAATGGCTACAAAAATGTAATTTAGTACAACAATAGCTAGTCTCTAATCTTTATATTCATCTACATCTACATACCATTTTCAAATGGATGTGCAGGCTTTACGCAGCCCCGGATCTAGGGGGGGGCAAGCCGGGGCCTATGCCCCGGGCGGCAAATTCAGGGGGCGGCAAAATCAGGTGATGGCCAAAGTCACACTTCATAGACCAATGGACAACTCATAATTTATTTAACTTTGACCACGGAATAAATAATAGCAGTGCAGCAATTTCATGGCCATATCAACTTGACCAATTCCCTGAGCGCGGAGTGAGACATGCTGCATGACTGCACGAACATTATTATTCGCGAGCCGCGTAGGCATAGTTCAAAATACGCGACCGGCTCCCGCTTGCCCCCAGGAATCGCAGATTGGGGCAGCATGCGTCTGGTTACCGTGAGTGCGTAAGAGATAAAGCTATTTTCGAAAACTTGAGAAACACAGGAAGCTGGAAAAGCAGGAGAGGACATTTGTCAACAGATTTTAGAAAAAATAGCAGTTGATGATTTAGATATTGGACAATGTCGTGGCCAATCTTATGATAATGGTTCCAATATGGCCATCATCCATAAAGGAGTACAAGCCAGGATTGCGGAAAAGAATGAGCTGGCAAAGTTTGTACCGTACTTGGCTCATTCCTTAAATCTTGTAGAATGAACCCATCATTCTGCCTCATTATGCCCGGAAACTATTAACCTATTTGGATTAATTCAAAAAGTATATTGCTTTTTTGTTGGTTCCATTTCTAGGTGGATCATTATGAAAAAAATACGCAAAAACAATTTTAAAAGGTATTGTAGTCAGACGAGATGGTCGGCGAAACACGTTGCTGTAAATACCCTATTCAATAATTTGTTCGAAATAGCGGAAGCCTTCGAAGAAGTTAAGCAAACTTCTCGTGCTCCAGAAGACAAGTTCGAGGCTGGTCAAATGTCAACTGCTTTAAAGGATTTCAAATTTATTCTTAATTTAACTATTTGAACGAATATTCTCCGCGAAATTACTAGTGAGACGTGAGACGAAATCCAATGGAACATTGGATAAAAGAAGCTAGCGAAGCAGCTGAAAAATGTGGTGTTGAATCTATTTTGAAACGAATCCCAAACAAACGAACCCTAAAACATAAAAAAAAATCAACGAGATGTGTGAAGACGAATTGCCACAACTCCAACTTGTTCAACTTTTTTCTAAAGATATAATGATGGTATTTGATCGAATCATATTTTTTCAGTTTTAAACAAAATTATTCATTAAACCCTTAATAGATACCTAACAGTATTAAGCTGTCTACTATTTTATTATGGATTATACCAGCTGTGACCATTAACTACTTTATATTTTGTTGTGGGTTTGTGGCACCGACTTGTAATATACCAGTGGGTGTAGAAGCTATAAGTACGTATGACCAATAATAGTTATTTTTTTCCTTTTTAGTTTTTACTTTTCATTTGTCATTAGTTTTTTAATTCGGTTTTTATTAAAGTTTATTTATTTAATTTTATACGTTTTAGTTTAGTACTTTGATAAATTATAATATACACAACCCGATGGGTTGCGATGGATTTGGATAGCTACTTTTAACCGTTAAGGAGTTCCCTCAACTATCGTACTACTTCATCATCAGACTCTTACTGACAATTATACCCCACTCAGGTGAAAAGTCCTCATCAATACAAATTCATCAAACCCAAACACAAGGAAGCTACTGTTAACCGTTGAAGAGTTCCCTCAACTATCGTACTACTTCATCATCAGACCCTTATTGACAATTACACCCCACCTAAGTGTAAAGTCCTCCCTCATCAATACAAAACTAATCAAACCCAAACACAATGTAGCTACTGTTAACCGTTGTGGAGTTCCCTCGACTGGCTCTCGGCTCCATTATCAGATCGACTCCAGACATTTATCAGATTGTAGTGATTTTCAATACTTAACTCGTTGAGTACCGTCATTATAGACACAATTAAAGAACAATAGGTTACGGTTACCGGTGACCGCTCGGTGTTTGACAGTTTAATGAAAAAAATAACATATGCACTAGTAGCCCCTATAATTTTTAAAAGTTCCCCTCGGTTTCCCTAGTCGTCCACCATCAGATCCTTATTTCTTTATCATGGGATCATTCTGGGACCATTCTGGGACCATTCTGGGACTATCTCCTTTCCAACGAAAAAAGAATTTCTAAAATCGGTTCATAAATAACGGAGATATCGGCGAACAAACATAAAAAAAGCATATATACGGTCGAATTGAGACCCTCCTCCTTTTTTTGAAGTCGGTTAAAAATAAACGTAAGTAGGTAGGTGGGGCGGCAGGTTTTAGTTTTTGCCCCGCCTAAAAAAAATTGATGATCCGGGGCTGGCTTTACGTCTGTAGTTTTAATTGCCAGTACGTCCTGTATCGTCTTCATCTCTCAGTTGACAATAAATGTAAATGTTACGTCTATTTTGGGCTAAGCGTTCACTTCAATGGGTATTCATATATCAGGACGAGCTTTAGCTAAACAGTAGGGTTGCTAGGCATCTTACAGTTACACAGTGTATTCAGTTTTCTCTAGTAGTATCATTTTCTGAACACTATTGTAAGAGCAGCTTGTACGAGTAGGTACTGACACTACCCAATGACTTTGACATCGATCGAACCTTATTTTGTAGCAGTTTAGGTCGACTGTACTGAGAAGCCCTAGTAATATTATAAATTCGTAAAGATCGTATTAATGAATTATATTTTAAACTGTCAAATACCAAGCGGTCACCGGTGACCGCAACCTATTGTTCTATAATTGTGTCTACAAAACCGGTACTCGACGAGTTAATGCTACCTATTACCTGCCTACTCCGAATTGATTGTGGAGAATGAAAAGAACTAACTAGGATTTATATTAAAAAAAACTTAGTCATATAGGTCTTTTTATAGTTTTTTTTTATTTTGCAGCAATGTCAGCTTATCAAAAGTTCTATGCTCTGGAGCCTGACAACTGGAAGGACCCTCTGTTCCTGTACGGATTGGGGCTATGCTATTACCACTACAATGCCTTTGAGTGGTAAGTTTTTTTAAGAAATTATCTAGCTATGTAAAACAGAGTATTGCGGGCATTGTTGCGTTGTTTTCGTGTTATTGCATTTTTTTATTAATTTTTTTGTGTCATTTTTCCTAACTAACAGCTGTCATGGCGGAAAAATATAAATAAAATAATTTAAGTTCTGTTTCATATTTTACTAATGAGGCATTAATTCTATTCAACCAAACAAAACGACAAAGTCTATACATACTAACGGCCCCATAACTTTTATTATATCGAAAATAAGGTAGGCGGATGCTATGCTAACGGGCTAGTGCCTAATGAACAAAATCATACAAATAAACATCAAACATAAACAAATCCTAAACGTTCACGTATCGAGCTGCTGAAATAATTTTACAAAGATTTCAGCCGGTACCTACAATGTTTAATATTCTTCTTAAACTGTCAAACACCAAGCGGTCACCGGTGACCGCAACCTATTGTTCTATAATTGTGTCTACAAAACCGGTACTCGACGAGTTAAAAGCAATTCACGCCATTACAATGTATAAATAAACTTTTCCAAATGTGCGTCAATGGAACAAAATCTCGTTTAGACTAGAATAAAAATATGTATGTGTGTTATGTAAATAGGAATGTTAACGAGCTTTCCGTGTTTCGTTTCATCACATACCGGACGGACGTCGCTTCGGGAATATCAAACTTTTATAATAATTTCGGTCGGAGCAAAAGCACCTCAAGCTGACTGTGGCCCGTGATGTTAGACGTCGTGATTCGTGATTCACCGGACGTAGGACGAGCGCGCAAAGCGGCGGGCGCGGGGAGCCGCGCTAGGGCCGGCGCAGGCCGCGCGGGGAGCTACGTGCGCGAGGGGCGCAGGGCGGTCGGCGTGGCGGCGCGCGGCGCGGGACGCGGGACGGTGCACGCTGCAGCGCGAGGTCGTCGCTCGCTCGCTCACGCCGCGGTCTGCCAGTCGGGAGCGGGATGCGGTGACGTAAACTGCATCGGCGCGGGCCGCGACACCGTAGTGTAGGACGGGACGAATCGTGTTCGTATGTACCGTGTGCGTGCTGAACAACCCTGTGTGACCGTGTGCTTGTGCTGTTCTCGCTGACGACGTCTCCGCTCTTCACTACGTGGGCCGCTGCGGCCGCACCGACCAGCAACGGATACGAAGATCCCCGAAATGGTGAGTGCGGTCGAAGCTCCCAGCTCGCGGTTTGTTTACGTCGGCCCTCGTGCCAGCTCTCTCTCTCCACCTGCCGCCCGTATCCCTGCGTCGCGTTCGCACGCGACTCTTTCTATTGTGTTTTGTTTCCGAAATGCAGACACCAACGTCGACGGCTCCGGACCAGGTCCCGTCGAGAGGTCTCGTTTTTGTTCGTTTCAATGGTTTTTGCATGTTTTTTGTAGTGTTTTCGCAGGTAGCTGTGCTATTCTTCTCATTCATCCGGGGATCCGTAGCGCAATATGGACATCAATTAGAAAGAAGGGTAAATAGTGTCAGGGGTGGGCAGTGCGTGTGTTTGTTAAGGCTAGTAAATAATGAGTATGCTGCCGCGCCGCATAAAATGTAGGTCGGTGGAGTGTGGCCGCAACACTGCCGCACGCGATGCCTCGCCTCACCCTACACCAGGCCATGCTAACCCATTGTGTACATTGCCAACCACTTATCAATCACTTGCATTGCGTACCTGATATCAACTATCAATATTGTATACAAATACGACCCGATTTTGTATGGCTTGGTAGTTTACTGACCTGTTAAACTTATAAATTACCTTATGTGTAAGTTGCCACTAATGTTAGTATTTTCCTAACCAGCCAAAAATGGCCTTAACCACTCGTCATTAGAAATCTTACGGTACAAAAATTCCTGTGATGACTGATGAGTAAGCCTTCATTACTAAGTTATATAATTTAAATGATTTGTGCCTACTGGAAAATCTGTGAGTCATGACTTCATGACGAATGAGTAGAATCCGTTGTCTGATAGCCATATCAGTAAATTCGCGCACTTTTGTCTTGCGTCATTGGTCATTGAACAGGTAGTGGCGACACGCTTCGGATATTTAATGAGGCAACATAAGACACCGAGCCGGTATTTCAAATTTCCTATACACTGGAAAGTCCAATCCACGGCTAAATTGTTCCGCTGTAAGGACTGAATAATTGTACTTCCTTGTAGCGAGTCTGTTTATAATATTCTCATAGGATAACATAACTTGGGATTTCACGCGATAAAATTATTATTACACTGTTAAAATATACCTTCATAATAATTTTAGTTAATCCCAGTATGTGTAACCGACCTTTAAATACCTACATTTGTTAATATGGGATTACCCGCGTTTGTCTTCCAGTAATAGTTTAAAATGTTTGCCATTCAAAGCAAAATATCACAGTATTTAATGTTGTAGATGACGCAAAAAATATCACAAGTTACGTTGATATCTTTGGTAATATCTAGTTACTATGTTTTTATCTCATTCATCAGCGGTATCGTAATAGTTATCACGAATCATATTGGCTATCAGTCGCGGACCGGTCTGCACATTATCTACGCAACGCCACTAACCGCTTCCAGTAACGGTATTCCACTCTCTGGAGTCCTCCAACGACTAGACTTGCTAGGCCCGTTTCGTAAACTTGTTCGTCGATATGCCCGCCTAGTCCTTTTTTGTAAATCTCCCGGAAGTGAGTTTAAAACAAGTTAAACTTCGCAGATTTGAGAAGCATCCAATGATCTTTTATATGGCCTAAGTAATTTGCATAATATTTAAACAAGTATAATTTTCAAACTCGTTTTATTAAGTCTGATGTTGCCTAGTATTGATTACATTAACAGTAGTATATAACATAGCTGTATTAAAGTATATTTTTTGTATCTTCTTCAACCTATTGAAATGTTGAACCTGATCCTGTATGCCAAAACGTTTGGAATCTGCAACCAAATACATTTTTAAGAACAGCTCGTTTTGTTTGATAACCCACGAGTTTATATGCCATAATCAAATTAAGTCTTATTTTGTTTTGCCAAGGGCACATTGCCATTCATTTATTCTGGATAATTTGGAATATTTCAGTATGTAGTAAACTCGTGACTCGTGGCCGAGTTTCTGCGTATCGAACAACATTACTTACAATATCAACAGTTACAATAGTAAAGCCATTGTAATTTACGACAATAAAAATTCTTGGTATAGCATACTATTAAGGGGGTAGCATAGTATTGAGTAAGATATTTATCCCTGATGGGTTGTTAAATAATTCATTGCATTATGTAACGAATGGAAGTCAGCTGCCGCGGCCAGCGGCTGGCAGGTAATGTCAGGCTCGTGGCTCGTGGCTAGGTAACGTCAGGTCGTTGAGTATAGATGGTGATGTAGTAATGAATGCTATGTAATTGTTAGAGCAGCTTGCGGTGGCGCGTGCCGGGCAGGTGCCTGCCGGCTGCTACCACACCTGTCACGACATCAGCTGCTCCTTCAGCTAGTTATTATATTGTTTAGCTACTTAACACGACACACGACTTGTATCCGTCTTCACACAAAGAAACTCACAATACCTTGCTCATTCCAACTCATCAAAGTGACCATTACCTGTTCTTTCATTTGTTTTTACAATGCTATTGCAATATACTTCAGTTTACACGTGTTGGACGTGGTTAACAACTATTTATGTAGGTACTTGAGCAGATAACGCTCAGTACAATGTTGCTCCAAGTACCTGCATAAGTATAGAAATCCAATAATGTTGCAGCGTTGAGTTGAATTAGCAATATCACATGCAATGCAAGTCTCAGCGTAGCTCGGTGTGCTGATAATATTGTTAGGTTTTACTACGCACTCGTAGTAAATAAACATAGTGTGCGTAGAAAGCGATAAAATTTCTCGACATGTTGGCCTGCTCGCTAGTTTGCGCAGTAATTGCATTCGGCAGTTAATTTCGCCATTACCGGCAGTAATTCGCCGGCAGCGCATTCTGTATCCTGTGCTAGAGAGGAGTTCAACTAAAATGTATATACTTAGTAAGTGAGCTAGGTAAATAGTCCGTACGTGCGACTCACATATAAATGGGATACAGTGAAGAGGAAGTCTTATTAGGGCCAGTTGTATGTATATAGCAGTCGGTAGCCGCGCCAGTGTAGTTACGTACCGTTGTTGTTCGAATTCGAATGTATGATGAATACTGTGAACTTCCAATCACACTTGTTGTTGATGCATACCCATCTCTAATTTTTATACGTTTTTAACAGTCGGTGTAGGATAACTTTGTGAACCAGATATCTAGTTCAGTATCAGTTGCTAATGCTATAAACAAAATAATTTAATATATTGGTATAAATAAAACATAGCAGGTGTTCTGTAGGTTTTGTGAAATCAATTCGATATTTTATAATATTCTGAATCAACATTTATTTATAGATACTGAACACCTATCTACTTTGTGACCATTTAATTATATCTGATCAAAAAACGCACGTCCATTTATGTACATCCACGTGAAAATATTACGTCAAAACGACTGTATTATTATTTTGTATGATGTGGGAGTCATCGTGATCTGTTGAATGCCGCCTAGCAACAACATACGAGTGGTGAAACCGGAATTTGACAGCGTTTCTCATGCTTGCTTGTGATATTATGTGAAGTTACTGCCAAAGAATATAGCGGTACATGTATATAGTTTTATCTATGTAAATGAGCTTACAACAGGACTAACTAGTATTAGGTTCGCAGTAGAGAACGCGGACGCGGTCTCCGACCCTAGGCTAAGAGTGCATCTAAGCAGTTTTAGAGATGTGCGGGCGGGGCGCAGGCTCTCGCCCTTCGTCCCGCGCCATGCGCCGCGTCACGTACGCACGGGCCCTTTCACGCACAGGGAGGGTAGAACTTGCGAGGGGCCGCGCGCGCACCGACATCGACAAGCTGACTATCGAGTCGCCGAAAACCGTATGCATTATTAGCTCGCCCCCTTCACCCATCCCTATTCGGGCCCTATCGTCCGTCCGCTCG